AGAACTAAAGTTTGGCTCCTTTGATCCTATCATGGTTTTCCATTTCCAGTTGATATCTGCATCTCTTCCTTACGCTTTCTCTGGGTATGTTCTGTTCTCTTTTAACTTCTTTCATTCAATTCTTGACCTGTGTGGCTACCTCCCGCGGACACTCACTGTCACTGTCAGGCTCTACCCTGCCTCCCTGCTTATCCTGCAGAACTGAACTTTGGGTGGATCCTGTTAGAAGTTTGGGCTGTTTGTGGTTGAGATAAAAATCAGGATGTGAACAAACTTGAAGCCGATTCCCCAAGTCCGCCCCAAGTCATCAGGCCCTAAGACAATGGACCAAGTAACAAAGACTGCTGGGCAGTGGTAGCTTTTCTCTTTTGCAGGTGTAATGTCCATTACAGAAACTACAGGTAAGAAATGGGGGAAATGAAATGACCTATGATCTCATTGCTTAACGGTAACCACTAGAGTGTGTGTGAGTACCCATCTGTGGATTTCTGAACTAAGTGTGTGTGAGTACTCATGTGGATTTTCTTTCTTGTTGAAATAGGACCACGTTGCAGTGGCTGTTTGGGAACACTTCTATGGCAACATTTTGCTAACAGCTTTTCAGGTTAACAAGCAGGAAAGAACAAAGGATTTGAGGCCGGTTTCCTGTTGGGTGTAGTGTTTTTAAGCTCTCCTGTCTGCACATTGATAATCTGTTCACGGGGGCTTCTTTTTCCTATTAAGTCGGGGCTCAACCAAAAGAAATTTTTTTTTTGTTCTTTCTAGAAAACAGACTGCATTTAATTCAGATGTGATTGGATCATGACTGGGTTATTTTATGATCAAGTGGAAAGAGTAAAATCATGTTTTTTAGTGCCAAGGTAGTAAGGTGATAACCCGCCTATTTGTTCTGCACATGTAATTTTCTGATAACGTCTCGTCACTTGGAGCCTCTGCATTATCAGTAAGGCCTTTTTTCCCCCTCCAAGTTTTTAGCCAGGTAGGAAATGCAGAGGAAGAGAAGATGGGCAGAGGGAGGCTTCTGTTGACAGCACTCTCTTTATGCTCCGAGTACCTGGGGTGTCGTCATCCATGAGATGAGACCTCCAGCGATTCTGGCCAGATAGGGGTAGGAGAGTCTTTAGAAATGACTTTCCAACTCTGCACTTAAAAAGACTAATTAGAAGGGGGAAGCGATTGCTAAGTGGAGTACAGAGAACCCTGGGGTTTTGAAATGGTTCCATATTTCAAGAGTTGTTTGGATTTCTCTTGTGTGTGTTTGGGGCACGGTTGGCCTAGCGTGCACTTGTGGTGGATGCTTTGGGCCTCTGCGAATCCCTGGCTCATTACAGGAGACTTTCGACACACCTTCTAGGCATCCCCCAAGGCAAGGCAAATGCTGGCTCTTCCTCCCGCTTGTGGGCAGCTGTGACCAACACAGCCCAAAGATATGCTGCGGAGAGAACCCACTGCTCCTGCCAGCCTTGCCTCCCTGCCAAGAGGCAGGTCTCTGTCCCCAGTTCTTAAGTGTGGAAATGATGTCCCAGGGGGGGTGTGGACAGTATAAACTGCCCACCCTCTTGGGGATAGAACTTGCTGCAATGGTATAATTAGAAACCGATGAGATTTCTGCTGTAATGCTGGGACGGTGTCTGACATCTCATTTTGGGAACAAAGGACATTCCATGCTGTTCCCAGCAAGAGGTCCCTGCAGGGTAGGCAAGGAGTGGGAGAAAACACACCTACTTGCTCCTCCTAGGCTGAGGCTCTCAGGGCTCTCATTGCAGTTGCTAGATACTTTCAGGGTGGTGACTTCTTGCAGCTGCTTCTGCTTCTTAAGGGGCCCTACTTGGCCGGGCTTGGAAGGCCCTTCTACTCACCCAGGCCCTGGGCGTTTAGTTCTGTTGTGGACAGAGAATCATGAAGTGCTAGTGATGGGTTGTGGGGCTCCCCTCTGCTCCATTGCTCTGGTATGAGGGGTATAAACTGCAACCAGGATAGAGTGAAGGCCCAAGACCAGATAGAGGGTCTGGGTGTGCTCTTGGGGCCCTGGTAAGATGCAGAGTCGCCTCTCAGTGTGGATTCACTCCCCCACTCCCCTGCCCACAGGAGGGAACAGGTGGCTGCTGTAAAAAGCCAGCCTGCACCGTGTGGACATGGCGGCTTGGCCTGTATACTTTCCTTCCCCTGGTCTGTTGGATCCCTTGGTGGCTAACATGAGGATGCCCATATCTGTGTTTTTCTTTAAGGTTTTTAATTAAGACAACTTTCAAACTTAGTGCAAAAATACAAATAGTATGGGGAGGACACCTTGTACCTTTCACTGAGATTTTTCCGTTTTTGACGTTTCTTCTCACCTTATGATTGCCCTGTGTGGGTGTGAACATGCAATTTTTTTTCCCTGAGTCATTTGAGGGTACATTATATTTTTATATATCTCAATATCATGGCCCTTTCCCACAAACATCAGGATTAACACATCATGAACTGGAAATATAAGTAAAGAATGCGTTTAATGCACCTAACCTAGCAAACCTCATAGCCCAGCAACACAGTTCTCTGGAGTGTTGCTTGTTTAACAGCCCCATGCCCATGTGGCTGGCTGGGAGCTGTGGCTTGTTGCTGCTGCATTGGGAGAGGGTTTCCCAGCCTGGGAAGAGTTCACAATTCAATGTGTGGTTTCTACTGAATGTGTATCACTTGTGCCTCATTGTAAAGTTGAAGAATCATAAGCCTAACTGGTGTAAGTTGGGGACTGTGTGCATGAATTTCCTAGAAACAGGATGTCCAGTACTCAGGAGGCTGAGGCAGGAGAATCACCAAGTTTGAGGCCAACCTGGGAAACCTAGTTAGACTCGATCTCAAAATAAAATAATTAACAAAAGCTGGGGATTTAGCTTGAGGTTGTAGAGTGTGCCTGTTCTATCCCCGGTAAAACACACACACACACACACACACACACACACAAAGGATGTCCATATCTTTCAGTAAATCACTACCTGATGTGGTAATATTTGGGAGCATGAAATTACAAAAAGGCATCCATTTTATAAATTTTATTAAGCCTTCATTTTTACATGTATGATTATATAATACCTGTAATCCAAGCATTGACAGATGATGGTAGCAACTGTAACTGGTCAGCTTTTTCCTCCCGAGTTCCTTTAGATGATATTTTGAATAGATTTTTTGAGTTTTTAAACTTTTTAAATATTCCTTTCAAAAATATTTCTTGTATTCATTACATTGTCTAACCCTACTTTGGTGCTGGAGATTAAAGGTGAGCAAACTTTGGACATGGATCTTGCCTATATGATCTGTTATTCTAAGCAAGAAACAGATACTGATAGGGTACTTACACAATTGGGGGTCAGCAAACTACAGCCCATGGGCCAAATTTAGGCCACTACCTGTTTTGTACAAGTGTGTTAGTCAGCTTTCCATCACTATAACAAAATACCAGAGATAATCAACTTAAAAAGTGAAAAGTTTTGTTTTAGCTCACAGTGTGGAGGTTTCAGTCCGTGATCAGTTGGCCCTGTTGCTTTGGTCCTGTGGTGAGGCAGCACATCACGGCAGGAGTACGTAGTGGAGCAAAACCGCTCACCTCATCAGTGAACCAGGAAATAGAAGATAGGAAGTGACCATGGTTCCATAAATCCATTTGGGAACATGCCCCCAGTGACCTGGTGGTCTCCCACTAGTTCTGCCACCTTCTGGTAGTGCCAGCCTGGGGACCAAGCACTTAACACACAGACCTTTAGGGGGACAGTCCAGATCCAGGGTATATCAACAGCTTATGAGCCAAGAATGATTTCTATATTTTAATGGGGAAATCATCACAAGAACAACATTCCATGACACATGAAGGTTACATGCAGTTCAGATTTCAGTGTCCACAAATAAAGTTTTATTAGAACACAGCCATGCCCAAACACTCTGTCTGGCTGCTTTTCCACCAACGGCAGCAGGGCTGAACAGTTGCCACAGAGCCTGCCTAACCTGAAAACTCTTGAACTTTTACAGAAATAGTTTGCTGACCCCTGATGTGAACACCTGGAGAAGGGCTGGGAGGGGGAGGAGAGTAGGCAGTGCAGTTCAAGGGATGGAGACTGTTGGGGAGTGATGTGGGGGGGTGGTTTGGTGCTCTGCCAGAAGGCGCTGATTCTCCATCTTCCTTTTCTTTCAGGTAAAACCTGTTTCCCAGGGGGTTGCATACTGTGGAAAATTGTTCAGCTGCAGCCTGGGCTGTGAAGGATCTGGAGCAGTCTCTCGTCCACGGTGTTCAAACCAAAACAAACAACATTCACGAAACTCTGGCTCCGTCATGTGTGTCCAGCGTCCATTCAGAGTGTCACCATCAAGCTTGTTTCCAAATCACCACCCGGGAGGAGTTGCCTCTGCTACTTTCTGGGTGCCCTTTTAAAATGTCACCCCTTCTCCTGCCTCCCTTTGGTTTTTTTTTTTTTTTGCCTTGCTAAAGCAAAGGGTAGAAACATGTTGAAAAATATTTTTAAAGCAACTCTTGACAACAGTGGAACTATAATTAGGAGGATCAAGTATCTAAGAACAGCCTGAAGAGTCTTCAGCTGTACACTTAGAATTCTTGCCACTCTGCTCTCCTGGATCTCTACGCTAGACATCAGGCCCTTCGGCAATCTTTTTGGCTTGGTGGGGGCTCAGGCCTTATTTTGGTGAGGGCTGTATGAAATTTCAGGTGGGGAATGCTGAGACTGGTTGGCCCCTACTGGAAGTGAACCAGTATTAGCTCCTGTCCCCACCACCGCACACCTTTATTAAAAGGGATCAGCAGAAATAGGCCTGGCTAGTTCACAAAGAATTTAGAATTTCAGTTATCAGGGAAAACAAAGTATGTGTGTGTGTGTGGACATGTGTGTGAATATATATAAAATAATTTCTCCTCTCAAGGGAACGGAAAGCACTGGGCAGCTTTGGGTTGGTAACTTTTTTGTTTTTTTAAATGCTTTTGTGTATGTGTTGTGTGTGTGTTTGTCACGATTCTTCATTGTTTGTCTTAGAAATATAATTAAAAATCACTGTGGTAATTTAAATCAATGGTGATTTGGCTGGGTCAAGTGAAGGACATGATTAGGGACTCTGCTGGCCCTAAGTCAGTCTAGACTGGGAACTTCCTGGACCCAGGAGTTTACTGCACAAGGACCCCCTCCCTTAGGCATGGGTAGGGTCTGAGGCAGGCCGCTTCCCTGGGAGCCTGTGAGGTAACTTTACCCAGAGATACCCTGTGGAACAGGACCTTGGGAGACCTCTCAGATTGACGGAGGCCTCCCATTTTGCTCTCCTCCCATATTGATGCAGCCAGTGCATTTCTACTTCAAGCCTACTAGCAGTGCCTTTGGGACCCTGGGGTTCCATTCTGTCTGAAAAGGTGTTTTTAATTTTTTACCCCTTCTTTTCCTTTCTGGCACTGCCCTACGGTTTGTTATGTTTGCCTGTCTATGGTCCTGTTCCGTTGGCGGGGATGAAAACTCCCACCTTCCCCTCCTCACCCCCATTTTCAGGCTCTTCGGTTTCCTGAGAAGGGCTCTCTTGGTGGGAAGAGATGGGCAGGGGCTTCTGTGGCCCTGAGGCTCACCTGGGTGTGGGTGCTGTGTGACCCTAGCTGTTAGCAGGCGTGCTGGTGGCACAAAGGGAGCCCTGGAAGCCCAGGCCAAGTATAGCCCTGTGGCTGGTGCTGCTGGGCTGTCGGCTGTGGCGCAGCCCAGACGTGGTGCCTGCTGGGCCTGGCCCTGTCGCTTCACCTCCTTTGTTGACTCTTCTCCCCTCAGCTCTGTTTGTCAGAGGGGTGGGGCTGGAAGCAGAACAGCTGTGGCTGCACTCTCTCCCCCCTCCATGGTGGTGTGCTCACAACCTGAGCAGTGACACGAGGAAGCCAGGACACCTCGCAGCTGTGCGCCTTCTCAGCCTTTGAACTGGAAATGCCCAACTCTCATCTGCAGAGTCTTATGACTACAGCTCAGTCATCCAGAAAAGCTGGATTCTTCTGCCTTATGTCTAAACCCCGCGCCGCCTTGTGCTCACCACTGGTCCCTGCTGGAGGGGACACCGACAATGACTTTCTAAATCCTTGGTGGAACTTCAGCACTACAGGCGCTTAAAATAAAGACCTTTTAGACATGAACCCCGTGTGCATTGGGTCTGGATATTTTCTGAGGTGGGGGCTGGTGAGGTTCTTTCCTATGATTAGGAGTGTGGGTGCAAGGTTGTGGAGGAGGGAGGGCTGGCTCTAATTTTCCAGGTGGTTGTCATGAGCCACATCCTGCATTGCTACCTGCAGGAGGTCCCTGGGTCCTGGTGATTTGGAAAAAGGCTTGGGAATGAAATGGTGCTACATACACATGTGTGGGCTCATTTGATCATTTCCTGGAAACCGACTATAGGTTAGGAGATACTGCCCCTCATTGTGTTTGGAAACTCTTGGGATATCTGCAGAGGACACAGAACTAATCATGTTAAAAAAAGTTAGCTTATCATTTCCTCACACCTGGGTCAGCATAAGCTTTTTATGAGTGTGAATGGGATGCATGCATCCAGGCTGGGTTAACCCCTAAGTGAGTAACAGCCAGAAAAGAAAGCTCACTTTTTTTTCCCTCCTATTCTAACATGTCACCCTTGGACAGAACCAAAAAGCTGAAGGATATGGTCTACTTGACTTTTCTGCCCTTTCTTTCTCTTTTGCCATAACTGTGACTGGAGTTCTCCAGGATAGCTCTTTATCCAAGCAGGATTGTGTTAGAGGCAAGCACTGGATGGTGGATCTCCCATCATCTGAGCTCCCTCCACTGAGCACCTTCCTGCTGGGCTGGTTCCTCCTGACACTCAGGGATACACCCTCATTGTGTTTGGAAACTCTGGGGGTAGAGTTAAGTTTGCTTTGGTGCAAATAAATGACTTAATTCTGTCTGTGTGTGTGTGTGTGTGTGTGTGTGTGTGTGTGTGTGTGCAGTTCTAGGGATCTGGATGTGTCCACTCCTACACCACCAGTGTAGGAAAAGGATCTGTCCCCATGAGGCCTTCTGGCTGTTCCTACTGACAGGTGGGAATCAGTGCTTATCACCCTCTAGCCCAGCAGTGCCAGAATTTCTTGTGGCTTTTATTTATCAGAGAATTCAAGAACACTTGATGTGGACTCAGTGTACAGTATACAACATATAACTTTTGAAAACAGGGTTAATTTTCCATTATTGTTGGGAACCAAATAGATGTGAACTTTCCAGATGGTTGTCATGAGCCACATCCTGCACTGCTATCTGAGTCTTTGGTCCGCAAAGTACCTGGGTGTGATACTCTTTGTAAAGTGCCTCAAAATTTGCTTTTATTTCCTATATGAGGTTTAGTGGGTTAGCTTAGTAAACTCCATATTCCTTTCCCTCCAACACCCCCTCCAGTACTGGGTATTGAACCTAGAAGCATTCTACCTCTGAGCTATACTACCAGTCCCTATTTTTTTTTTTTTTTAATTTTTGAGACAGGGCCTCACTAAGTTGCCCAGACTAGCCTTGAACTTGCAATCCTCCTGCCTCAGCCTCCTGAGTAGTTGGGATTACAGGCATGTGCCCATGTGCCTAGCTTGAGGGGATGGGTTTCTGGATGAGCCAAGTCTACGTGGATGGGAACACAATAAGCTCATATGTATCTGTTGGCAAAGCAGGTAGCCCACAGTCTCCAATTTAAATATTTAAATGGCTCATCTGGCATGGGCACTGTGAGCAGGTGTCGTGCTGTGAGTGTTTTGAATGCATTAGCCTCAGAGCCTGCAAAATTCTGCAAGAAAACAAGCTGGGCAGGACCAAGGATCAGGATGCAGGCAGGCCTCTATGTGATTCTTGGCCTTGCTGCTCGTGGTCTCTGCCATGTTAGCCTTACCCTCCCCACATATAATATGGGAGAAACCATATTCCATTGGTTATTGTGATCATTAAAAGGTACAATTTAGCCAAGAATGTGCTGCAGATATCTGGCACGGGGGACACCCGGGAATGGTCACCATTAATGATATAGAGTTCCTCTTGTGTGCCAGGAACCTTTGCTTATAATTCAGTTCTTCAGTGAGTCCTTGGGTAGGTGTTCTCCCTGGAATAGACTTGAGCATTTGGTGACCATTTAGGCAGGCCCAGGGCTGTTCCATTCAGCCACTTCCCCTCTCCCCAGCTCCCCATAAGGAAACAGATCCATTTGCCTAGCACCTCAACACCCTCTGAGTCCTACTGACAATGTGGTGAGATGGGTGAATGCCTTCATTTTCTATGTGCAGGAATGAGTCTGGGAAGGTCAGTCACTCTACAGGGTCACATGATTCATGAGGGGAAGGTCTTGAATCAGGAATCGCCTGCCCTTTTCCAGGTCATTTATGTGAAGGGAAGAGGTGGGGTACTTTCCTTTTGAGACTCTAAAAGTTTACACTTGGGATGGTGGAATGCCTGAGCTGTGGCTCAAGGAGACTTAAGATAACAAAGAGGTGCCAACTCAGCTGTGTCCCCTCCTGGTGGGGAAAGGAATCTGTAGGGCAAAGGGGCTATGTCCCCTGGAGCCTGCGCCTTTCCCTTTTGAGATTTCACCTGGGCATCCAGGATTCTGGAATGCTTTCTGCCCAAATGTGACTGGAATCTGATTGGGCTGTGTGCTGGGGAACATAGCACACCTGGTGTATTAGTCTGCTTCTGTTGCTGTGACAAAATACCCGAGAAAATTAACTCAAAGGAGGAAAGTTTGATTTTGGCTCATGGTTTCAGAGGTTTCAGTCCATGACCACTTGGCTCTGGGGTTTCTGGGCTTATAGCAAGGCAGAGCACCACAGTGGAGAGGGTGTGGTGGAGCAAAGCTGTCACCTCGTGGCAGCTACGAAGTGGAAAGAGTCACAGAATACAGGGACAAGATAGAGCCTTCAAGGGCATGCCCCAAAGGACCTACCACCTCCAGCTAGGCCCTACCTCCTAAGCTTCCACCACCTCCAATAGCCCATTAGATAGATTATGAAGCAAACAATGGATTCATCCACTGGTGAGGGCAGAGCCCTCATGATCCAATCACTTCCCAAGGGCCCCACCTCTGAACACTGCTGCCCTAGGTACCAAGCCTTCAACACATGAGCCTTTGGGGGACATTCCAAATCCAAATCAGAACACTTGGTCTCTCTTCGTCTGGTTCTCATTCCTGAAGAGCCCATCCAGAACATGTGAGGTGAGGACACGATTTGCCAAAATGGAGTCAGTTTGCAGGGATTGTGCACGTCTCCTCTCTCTTTTTAAATCAATGATGTAGAGATGAGCTTTGGGATGCCCACTGTTCCACGATGGCACGTTTTTCTTTGTAATGATTGTTTTCCCACACTGTGAGATTTTGAGACCATTGTTGATTCAGCCGGGCTTGACATCAATCCCCAGAATCTGATCTTTTCCCTCTCCCTCCCTGTTCCCCCGAGGTCTTGGTGAGTGTGCGTATACTCTTCTCTCCTTTAGCTGGAATCAGGACCCATGGAAAATAATTACTGGAAACGTTCCGGAATAGAAAGTGAAGAACAGCAGAGTTGTATAAGTACCACATAAAGCAACTAATGAAATGGAATAATCTCTTTTTCATTTGGCAGCTCTGCCAGGTGCAGGGTATGCCATGGTGCAGACCAGCCTCCTTTTTTACACCATTCACTTCGTGCTGGTGTCCCTTCGTGCTGAGACCCTAAAATTCTCAGCTTCTCACAGCTTTGAGAGGCGGGGAGAGCACCCATGGTGGGTGCTCAGGACATGAACTATCATTTTGTTACACATCCAGCAGAGAATTGCTGCCCGGATGCTGGTGCCTGCTGGGCTTCCAAGGTGACCGGGGCTGGCACACTCCTGGCTTTCAGACCGTTGGGGTAGGAGGGAGATAAGGTCTGTACAGAGCCCCATCATGGCCCATACTTCTGCTTCTCTGAGGCATCTGCATCCTGGCAACTGAGAGCAACAGCTGCAATTTATGGTGCTTTTATGGTGTTCCAGGGGTCAGGGTAAGAACTCTACACGTGTTGTAAAGAGACTCATTTGCATACTAAGCTGAAGCTTGGACTCTGAAGCGGGATTCCCTGGGTGTGAATCCAGGTTCTAACATTTACCACCTGTGTGACCTTAGGCAAATCTCTTAACCTCTGTGATTCCCCTCTCCTCATCTGTGACAGGAGAATCAGCAGTATTACCTTTCATCCGGGTATTGTGAACTGGATGTGTTAATGTCTTTTGAGTACTTTTGACACTGACAGGCGCGCAGCACTAATGTGTTTGTTAATGTATACAGCAGCGCTGCAAAGTAGCTTCTGTGTCACCATTTCTACTTTGAGAGTGAGGAAGCCAAGACTTTGATAATGACCTTGCCCAGATCCCTGGCTTGCAATGGTCTGCCTGCTGTTGAAGGACTGAGCGTTATTCATGGTGACTGAGTGTTATTCATGGTGTCACATTGCCGCCCAGCGCTAGGACTCTGTCCAAGATGAGGGGCCAGGTATGTAGAGGAAGGAGGAAGGCTGACCCCAGCCAGGTCCACCAGGCTATTCTAGGTGGACAGAGAGAGTGCTGGCTTTCCAGAGAAGTGTGAGCGAGGCCCCTGGGGTCTGAATGGGTTCCTTAGAAGATCTCAGATACTGGGTAGAGTGTCCTTTCCTCCTCCGCATTCCTTCCACGTACTCCACCCCTTCGATCATTCAGTGTGAACCGTGGAGAAGGATGAAGCCTGCCTGAGTGCTGAACTCAGGCTGCTGTGGCCCATCATCTCTGCATGATCATGAAGGGTCTGCTCCCTGCCATACCAGCAGTTAGGACTGGGTCCCATTTACCTCTGACTGTGCTCTCCCGGGGCAGAGAACAGCAGTGACCATGCTTGTGACATGGAAC